GGGAAATGCTGCTTCCATCTCACTACCTGACCAGCACTCTTACCTCCCTGGTTCTGTTATAGGACAGGGAGAGGGGCAGCCCAAGCGAACCTCCCCCTTTCCTGGGGACCACCCTGTTACAGTTCCACTCAGCCTGAAAGCCAGGCTTCTTCCTGGCACCCGACCAGAACCAGAGATCTTGAGGGGTCTTAGTGAAACAGTGTAATTCCCATAGAAGGGGGGAGGGTTCCAGGTTCCCTGCCCCACCTCAGGAAGGGTGGACCTGAGCAGTGAGGGGAAACTAAAAAGGAGTAGGAAGGAAGAGAGGGCCGTGGGTGGACCAGCAAGACACGTGAACCCATGTTTGCTCGTTGGCCTTGGACTTGCACCAGGGACTGGGGGACATGGAAGGAGACACTTGAAAGAGAAGTTGGTGAGAGACCCATGAGGAGGCTGACAATGGTGGCCTTTATCTTGATTTACAATTTGATTTTTCTTTCCTTTCAGACTTGCCTGGCCCCTTCTGCCCCTTTCTTATGGGTCCCCACCAGAAGGTGCCTGTAGGTTTTCAGGCCACAGTGGCCCTGCTTTGGGCCAACCCTGTTTGGTTGGGTATTTACCCAGGAAGGGATGGGTAACTTTGGGTATTCAATTAGAAACTTATCTTTTTGCACACTAATTCTATTCTTCTTCCTTTGAAGGTCTTACTAGAGTATGGTTTTTAAAAATAATTATTTATTTATGCATACAAGAACTGAGGTACAGGTCAGAGGTGGGGGGGGGAGAGGGGATGGTGAGAGGGTTCACCAGAGACAGAGTGGGGAACAGAACAGGCAGACGAACTGAAGTAGACTGCTGAGGGTGTTATAGGACAGGGAGGGGGCAGCCCAAGCCCCGCAAACCTGCCTATTTTAAATGGGTTCTGCCATCCGCCGCATCAACACAAAACACATGAGACTTTAATGGGAAGGATCTTTAATAAAACTAGGAAACAATACAGGTAAGGCAAAGAGTCTAGTTTCTAAATGAAGCACCCAAAGTTACCCGTCCCCTCATGGGTAAAAGTCCATCCATATGGGATCGGCCCAGAGCAAGGCCCCAAAGCCTGCCACAAGTCTAAAGCATCTTCCAGTGGGGACCCACAGAAAAGGGCCAGAAACCACCAGACAAGCCCGGAAGGAAAAGAGCAAAATCAACATCAAGATAAACGCTGCCATGGTCACCTCCCCACGGGTCTCACCCACATCTGTGTCACCCAGTCCACGACCAAAAGACAAGCGCAGTTTCTTCACGTGTCTCTAGACTCCATGCGCCTCCTCCAGGTCTCCTGGCTCCATCCTGCTTCCTTCCTCAGTCTCTTCTTCAGCTTCTCCCCTTCCTGCTCAGCTCCACCCTCCCTTGGGTGGGGCAGGGAACCTCCCCCTTTCCTGGGGACCACCCTGTTGCAAGGGGAGCAGCGGGGGAGTCAGGAGAGGTCTGCTGCGCCATATGGGTAGCTCCCTGGCCGGGGATTGAACTCGTGTTGCAGAGGCTGCAGAGCGCTTCATAGGTTGAGTCTTAACCCCTTGTGCCACCAGGGAGGCCCTAGAGTATGATTTGTCTTCATGTTGTGGATTTCAGGACCCATTTAGAGTGTGCAAGGTTTGGGGTCCCAGGGTGCCCCTCAGTCTACCTCCCAACATTAGGACATTTTTAAGGCAGGGAGTGGTGCTGTGTGTTAAGTAACCCGACTCAGTGGGTCCGTCCTCTTGGGCGTCTGGGCTGAATAAAAGACCCCGCCATGGCGGATCTAGCACCAGCCAGGCATCTAGTCCTGGGGCCAAGGAGGCAGTGGACAGCGTCTGTGAAAAGCTCCCCAGGGGCGGCGAGCGCAGCGAGGTTCCACACCGCGCGCAGGCGAGGGGCCTCCAGGAGAGCCTTTGTCCCTCGGCTTCCAGCCCCGAGACAGCCGGGGCCGCAGCGGGCCCGCGCCCCCACAGCGACGTGGGGAGACGCGCCGGACCGAGCAGCCCCGGGTTCCCGCGCGGAGAGCGGGGCGCGGCGTGAGGACGCCGCCCGCGGGCCGCCGGGGGTCGGGGGCGCCCTGGGCCCGGGGCCCGCCCCCGGGGGCGGAGCAGGCGCGGCCCCGCCCGAGCGCGGCGGCCTCCGCGGCGGGGCGGGCGCTTCCTGCCGGCGTCGCCGGGCGGGCGGCCCATCTGGCGGCCCCCACGGGGCGGCGCGGGGAGGCGGCCCAGACTCGCTGGAGCCAGGCGCGGGCCGCCCCCCCGCCCGCCCGGAGAGCCCAGGTGTGGCCGCGGCGGGGGTGGGGCGGCGCTTTCCTTCCCGCTCGGCCCTTCCTGACGCGGCCCGGCAGGATGCGGCTCCGCCCGCCCCCCTCGCGGCCTGCGCCTCGCGCGGCGCCCGCAGTCGTGGGGGGCGCGCGTGGGGGGGGGCGTGCGGGAGGCGGCGGCCCCGCTGCTGGGACCCGCTCGCTTTTGGGGGCGGAGGGGGCTCTGAACCGACCGCCTGTCTCCCAGCTCTGCCGTAACTGCCCTTGGGGATCGCAGGCAGGAGCGGGGGCCCGGGCACCTCTCCCGCCCTGGGCGTCTGTCAGCACTGACTGGACACCGCCTGTGTGTCAGCTGGTGTCTCGCCATCACCCCGCCGCTCGGGCACAGTGGGCGCTTGCCCTGGGTCCCCTGCTGCCCCTGACTTGAGTGTCCGGCTGGTACCTGGCGCTGGAGGCCTGAAGGCGCACCTCAGGTTTACCCCCAATCCTGGAGCGTCCTGGGGAGGCGTCCTGGAAGGGAGGGTCTTACCCATTTCACAGCTGAGGAAATTCGACCAGGTGGACAGTCCGCCTGCCCCAGTCACTGAGTGGCCTCATGGGGCCGTTCTTGCACAGCCCCCCAAGAAAGGGAACCTGGGATCCAGGTTTGGAAAGTGGATCCAAGTGTCAAAAACACTGAACGACCCCGGTCTTGGAAGTGAGGCAGCAAGTTCAAATCCCCCCAGGGCCTTAATGTAATGTCTATGTTTCCTTTATCTGTAAATATTATTGTACCTACCTCCCAGGGTTGTTCTAGTTATTAAATGTTTCTAAAATACGCAGCACACCGCTAGCCTAGCTAAGGACAAAGGAAATACGTACTGGGGCGCTTAGCAGGGCTGATCACCAGCCCCCTCCCACCCACTGTAGTCAAGGGGACTGAGAGCAAAGAGGGACAACAGATCAGGGGCAGAACTTGGGGGTTTAGAGCAGTTTCCCAAGAATCTTCCCCACCCCGGGGTGAGACTGGCACTTGTCCCACCCAGGGCTCTGCCCAGCCACCCACCCCCGCCTCTCCAGTGTGCAGTCCCAATCCGTGCCCGGCCTAGTGCCATTTTTCCATGGGACTCTGGCTGTGGCGATCCACATCTGGAGTCTAGACTCGGAGGCTCTGCGGGCCGGGCCTACCGCCCGGGCTGGGCCACCGCTGCCCGCTGTTTGCTCAGCTGAAGCTGGTTAATTGGAATTAGAGTGGCCTCTGTGGTGCCGGCTGGCCGGGCGGGCCCTGGACAGCTACTGCCGAGGTCTGTGGAACATCTGGCCAGGCCAGGACGGTCATTAGGTGGCAGGCACCCGGCGCCACTGCCACCTCAGCCTCCGCCGGGGGCCGGTGGTGACTCAATGAGGTCTTTGTGGGCCCTGGGCCGCAGAGCCAACCGTGCTGTGTGACTGGGCTGCCTGCCCCATCTGCCGCCCTCAGAGCGGCCTTGTTCCAGGACCACATGGCCTCCCCTCTGGAGGTGGCTGGCATTGGTAGAAATCTGAAAAGCCCCTGTTGGGGAGAAGGCTTTAAGATTCCCTACCCTTCCTTTCCTTTCGGTAAATTCCTAGACCCAGAGAGGTTGCGTGGCAGGCTCAAAGGTACCCAGCACACCAGCTAGTGACTCAGACCTTAGCAACTCTGAAATTGCCACCCATGTGGGTGGGCAAGCTGCCTCACTTCCCTTGTTGGCACAGTAGGTCACAGCCTAGCATGGTGAGAACTAACTGAAATTCTGTACTGAGGTACTTGGTACCTGTACACTCAACAGCTAGTGAGGTCATTACAAGGATTCTGTCGATTTTTTGCTCATTCTTGTTCTTTAGCTACCTCCAAATTTTTGGAAAATTTCAGCCCCTGAACCTAAGTCTTGGGCCGGAGAAAGCCTGAGCTGGGAGTTAAGAGCCTGTTGTGTCTCGGGTCAGTGACCATCCTCTCCCACCTTGATTTCTTCACCCAGTCACCCCACACCACGCAGGTAGGTAAATGATAGCTGTACCAACTCCTGGTCTATTCCATCGGGGGTTCTTTTGCAGGCCAGGGCTGTTGTCTTCAGCAAACTCTGGAGAAAATCTGGTCCTGGAATCTCCAGATCTTGGGCATGGATGGCCTCTAAGAAGCACCAGGCTCAATCCCTCCCTAGCTGTCTCTCTAGAGGCCCTGGCCCTTGGGCTGTGAGTGGCCTTGAAGTAGTCACTTTGGGAAGAGTCCCAGGAATGGACAGAACAGGAGTGATGGGACTTTGATCTCCACGGCAACCTAGATTCAGGCATTTTCCAGCTGCAGCCATATGGTCCTGGGGACCAGGAAGCCGCTCCTGTCAGCACACAATAAATCTAAACTCTTCCTAGGGCCCATGAGGGCCTGCCTGTTACTCTTGCTTTCAGCTATGGTCCCCTTGCTGAGCCAGGTCAGTCTTTTGCTGCTTCCTCCCACCTCTTGCTGGAGATGGGGACAACACTGGCATACCTTCCAACATCCCAGTTGCCCCCAAGTGCTGGGTGGTAGGTGGTAAGAAGGGCTCGTGGGCCCCCTCTGCTGGCTAGAGGGCGCCCATGGGGTGCTGAGCTGGCTGACTGACTGCTCGGGCATCCAGGACAGCCAGGGCCCAGAGGCTGGGTTCTCGCCCCAGGTTGCAATACTGCACAGTTGCCAGGGAGGGGCTTATAGGACAGTCTCTGGGTGGGCACTGAGGCCTAGAGATCCTGATGCAAGATGCTGGGTGCAGTGCAGTGGCAATGGGATGAGTCTTTAATGTGAGGCAAAGTCAGTCCACAATACAAAAAGCTAAAAATCAGACCCACTTTTCCCACCTGGCACTTGGAAGGGGTGGGGGAAACTGGGGCTTCCTTAGCTGGCAGGGGTGAGGAGGGGCAGAGGAAAGCCACAGAAGGGGGGAGGCCCCTACTGGAGGGCTCCGGTGCCCCGCCCTGTCCTGGAGTTGCCTGGGCTCCGGCAGCCTTGCCTCTGCAGGCCCGCGCTGGTCCAGCCCCCGCCTGGCCCGTCTGGCCTCAGAGGGTCAGACAGCACCGCATCATTTCTCCTTCTTCTCCAGCCCCTTCGATGCTGATGCCTCTGTTCCTTCTTTGGATTCTGTCACTGCCGCTGGATCCGTAGGATTTGACTCCTCATAACTGACCAAAAAATGGAACAATAAAAACAACACATTTAAAGGAGGATTCAGAAGCTCTGTGCCCCGCCTCCCCACCATCCGAGGGGAGCCCCACGGCGCACACTGGAGAACACCAGTCCCACATCCGCTGCCCAGCACCTTCCAGTACTTGGCCCCGGCCCCACTGCGTGCCCTCCTCCGAAAGGCTGCTCTGCTTTCACTGTGCCTGGTAGTGCCAAGAGGTGGCAAGGGCAGTGGCAAGTGGAGGAGAGGTTGGGCTTGGGCTTGTGCAGGCCAACTTTAAGCTTCTTGAACCTTCCGCTGGAGAGAGTGGGAAAAAAAGGGTGGCCAGGACAAGGCTATGGGAGAATGCTGCCTCCCAGGACACATGGCAGGAGTCAAATAGCTTAGCCCCAGGGGTGCGGGTGGGCAGGGGGCTGCTCTACTGGCCAGGGGCACGGGGCCAATCTTGAAGGCGGACACCCTGGCTTTCCTCTTACTACGGACTCTACTTATTGAGCAACTGAGTTCATGCTAAGGACAATACCACGTTTCCTCACCAGATCAACTCCCCGAGGCAGGGATGTGCCCACTTACAGATGAAGAAAGAGAAGCTTGGAGAGAGGAAAGTGACTTGCCCAGGGAGATGGCGATATACACGTCCATAAGTATATGTATATAAAATACAGTGATGGAGACATACTCTTAACCGTATCTCCTGCTATATGACGTGCACGCTCATGTGAGGACACAGGCAGCTCTGCGGCCTTGGGCCCATGGCCGGGTGCAGCGACTCCTTGGTGGTTGTGGATGAGCTGCCTCTTGCTGCCCGCCCCTGGCCATGCTCCCTGCCCCGGACACTGGAGCTGGGGTGTCAGCCCTACCTTGGGCCCCGGGACAGAGGGGGGAAGCGGGCAGGTGGGCACCCACTGGGTATTACATGGCGCTGGGATTCTGCGGGCGCCGGCGGCGAGGGCCAGCTAGCTTCTGCTGCATGGAGTCGGCCAGGCTGGCTGGGGAGCCCGAGACTGTGGGGAAGTGGGTGAGCCTCGGGGTATGAGGCAGGATTTCGGCCGAGGACTCGTAGCTGCGTAAGAGACAGACAGACAGACAGGAAAAAAAAAGATGGAGAGGAAAAGACTAAGGGAGGACAGAAACTTCTCTTCCAAGGAGCAGGGAGCACAACTGTGTCTGACTCTGATCTACCTCCGTGCTTGCAGGCTTTGTGGAAAGAAGCTAGTGCTACTTGGAGAATGAAAAAGAAAAGAGGCGTCTAGACACAGGGGTCGCCGCAGCTGTGCAAAAGAACAAGGACGCTGTGGATGTGCAAGCGCTGCCGCGCAAACAGCACCGAGACACACTGCGGGCGCGCGGGCCAGATGCCGGATGCCGGATGCGCCAAGAACGCCGCCACCTGCGCGAGAATGTGCGTGCACGCACCTCGGAAGGGCTAGTGACAGGGCGGGCCTCTGCGGTGGCTGGGCCACGGGGGTGCTGTCCATCTCAGCTATGGGATTTTGGACCATGAGAATGTGTGACCTACTTAAAAATAAATAAATCAATCAAGGGAGCATCAATAAAGAGAAAAGGAAGACAAAGGATAAAGGTGGAGAACTAGGGAGAGACGGAGAGAGAGAGAAGAGAATCCCCTGCTTCTCACCTCAGCCTATGGCCCTCCTGAGCGCTTATACAGCAGAACATTCAGGGAAACCAAGCACCTCGGTTTTGGTCTCAGTGTCCAGAGCTGACCAAAGAGGACACAGTAGTCTGGGGAAGGCCCCTAAGGGGTGGGGGGCAGGGCTGAGACTGGATGAGAGTCAGGGTGAGCGTAGGTGCTGGATTCAGGAATTAGATCCCACCCCTGCCCCCCTGCTCTCCCAGATCTGGCCCCAACTTCACCCCCCCAGCCTTGCCTCAGAGTCCACAGGGCTTTGCCAGGCCAGGAGATATGGCAGGCAGGTTGGAGCCTGGGGCTTCTAGGCAGGGCAGGGAGGGCAGAGGCAGGTACGGGGGAGGGTGAGTCACAGGTTCCCCTGCAGGCAGCCAGGTGCACAGAAGGGCCTGGCAGGCACTCGAGGGACAACTCGGAGGCCAGGCAGGTGGAGCTGGGTGGATGGCCCCCGAGTGGGCAGCTTCAATCACAGTTGGCAGCTATTTCTGGTTCCCCAGCAGGCGGGGTCGGTGGTGCCAGGCCTCGACACCTGTCAGAGTCACGCAGGCCTTGGGGTATGGGTGGGGCTGTGCACAGGGTGTGGCAGGTGTGCATGTGCTGTGGGGAAGGGGTATGTGTGCAAGGGATACAGCCCACTAGGCTACAGCCACGCAGGTGGCCCAACGGGGCTGACACTTCTAACCCAGGGCACTTTCTAGCACAATATTTCTCTCCTATTACTCACATGTGAAAACTGACACCGGGGAGGGAAAGGACATGCCAAGGTCTGTGCTGGCCATCGGGGTGGGAAGCCAAGGCTCTTGACAGAGCGGCAACCCAGAGACAAATCTTCACCATCCATTCCCATCTCAAGACCCAGCTGGCATCTGGGTATCTGGGCTGCCTAGAGATCCATGGCCTTGCCCCACCCTGGGTCCCAGTCCATGGAAAAGCTCCCGTTGGTGCCCACAGCCAAGTACCCACATGCTGGCGGAAAGGGCAGCGGGTGGAGCTGGCGGTGGGAACAACGTTCCCCTGGAGACACGCACAAACAGCCCAGGCAGGCCTCGCTAGCTGCCTGCAGGTGCACCGTGCCACGCAGACGGTGGCCCCTGCCCTGCCTTACCTGAACATCTCTGTGACTTCTCCCTTGGCCAGTGCCACCAGGACAGGGAAGCCAATGCAGGCGGGGACCAGGTACAGGAGGGCAGGCTGCAAGAGGACACAGGCTGGTGAGGCAATGCTGGGAGGTCACCCTCCCAGGGTTCTGCCCATCACCCCAAACCTTTCCTGGGCTTGACAGGGACAGAGAGTGCCTACCCAGGTTCAGAGCATGGGCTCAAGAGAGGCATGCGTGACTCCCATACCAGGGCTATCCCTCCCTGGGAGGGAACACGGGACACCCACAGAAACTCAGATATGCAGGGCTTTCAGGGTGCACTGCGTCCCAATCACCTGGAACATCAGGTGCAAACCTGCACCCTCCTGGGTGGATCTTACTCCCAGAGACACTGTTGGCCCCCGTCTGGACTGGAAGCTTGCATTTCTAACAAGTGCCCCAGGAGATGCTGTTGTAATGAGGATGACCTGCACCCTCCTGGGTGGATCTTACTCCCAGAGACACTGTTGGCCCCCGTCTGGACTGGAAGCTTGCATTTCTAACAAGTGCCCCAGGAGATGCTGTTGTAATGAGGATGACGATCACATGGGTGCTGTGTACCAAGCACTTGCTGGGTCCCCCTGCTGGTAGCTGGCTCTGCTGGGACTCACCCCCAGTTTCCAGGTTTCATCTCTGGGTTTCCCGCTCCCTCTGGACAAGGAAGACATCTCATCATCTCTAAGGACCTTTGAAGAAAGTTACTAGACCCCCGACTTGGTTTTTGAGAGGCTACATATATTGCAGGCCATGCAGGTAGGGGTGACTCCTCTCTAGGGAACTGCCAGCACTGGATGTGCCTTGTAGAGGACGAAGGACCTTATGGAGCAGTCCTGTGTCTTGGATTCCCTTTCCTTTCTGAGAGTTTCGCACTCGGCTGTCTGGGGAGAGCGGCTGGCTACTGTGCAACTCGGTGAAGTCTCCCTCTCTCTGGGTTGCAGTGTCCTCATAGAGAGGACCACCCCTCCTGCCTCTGCACCAGCGGGTGAGAGCTCCCAGAGGGGGCCTCTTCTGAGTCTAGCCAAGGCCGAAGGCAAGTCTGCCACCTGGTGGCCGCTGGGGGAATGGCTTTGGACTTGGACTAACCCTCCAAGAAGCCTGCAAATTGGCCCTCCAATCCAGAGCCTCGATCCTCCTTGCCAGGTGCAAGCTATTCTCAGCTTGCAGAGCCCCTGAGGCTTTGTGATGCAGAAGTGAATGAGGTGGCTTTGGTCTCTCCAGCTATGAGCTAGGGGACCTTGGGCCTTCTGTAAAATAATACTAGTATGGTAGGTCTTCACTTAAGATCCTGGATAGGGTCTTTAAAAACCATGACTTTAAGTGAAACAATGTATAATGAAACCAGGGCCTTGAATAATTTCATTTCCTGCAGTGTTTCCCATCAATATTGTAACAAATGACATTAGAGGAAAGGCTCCAATTCAGACACTATAGATCTAGAAACATTATTACATATGAAAGGAGCTAATGAGCGGTTTTGCACAGTGCCTGGCTTAGAGTAACTGCACAACAAACTCCTCTTGTGCTCATCAAAGCTGGCTCCTAGGCATCCCGGGCCTGCGGGGGAGGTGCGGGAGAGGAGGGCACAACAGCAACAATCACAGCTAATACTATTGCGCCAGACATAGTTTTGAGCACTTAAGTTAGCTCTCTGAACTCCCGAACAACTCCAAGGGGGCTGCTGCTATTTATCCCCATTTTCTGTTTTCATTAATTGCTGAGGATTACCAAGCGTAACTTCAGCAACCACCCAGAGCCCCAGGGGGCAGATGGTGGCACCCACATGCACACTGGGGCTCTCCTGGCTTTCACTCCACACGGCCTTTCCCATGGCTGGGGGTGTAGCACCTGGGCTTGGTTTTCATACGACACAAGTTTGGCTCTGCACCACACGTACCTGCCTGTGGCACCTGGGCTTGTTTGCTCCTGGCTCACCAGGACCCTCAAGAAGTACTGCGCCGGGCCCGGCATTCGGGAAGTCCTCTTACTAATTCCAGCAGAGTAATCCTGTGTGCTCTCCTGTTCCCCCCAGCCTTTCCCCTCCAGTCCATGCCTGTCCCAGCCCTATCCCACCTTGGTGCACTCTGTGGCAGCTTATTACCCATCTTGGTGGAGGTCTGCTCAGGGAGCTGGGGCCCCAAAAGCCTATCACTCATCTGGTAGGGCAGGAACTGGGCTGAAACACCCATCCCCACCCAATCCCGCTCTATCTGGCTGCCACTACCAAGGCAGAGAAACCCTATTTTCTCTTTCTTAGAATTCCTGCAGCTGGAACTATGTAATACTGATCTGGCCCATGAATGGGCATAAATCTGCTAAGAGGGCTCTGGGAAAGGTTTCCCTTCCTGATGAAGGCAACAGGCATGGCTCCTTCTTGCCATTAACATGCATAAGCTGCCGAGAGCAGGGGCAGCAATCCTACAAGAATAAGAAAGGCAAACAGGGTCAAGAACTTGCTTGCGACCAACGGGTAGCCCTAGCTCTGGATTGCTCATATATAGGACAAGTTGTGTGCAATCCCTGTCACTTGGAAGCACCCCTGACACACTGACCACAGCCCCGCTCACCTGGGCATGCTTGAAGATGTGCATGATGAAGATGGTAAGGCCCAGGCCAAAGATGTAGGCTGCAAAGCTGGTGTAGAAGTAGGTGTGGGTGTTCTTCTTCAAGCTTCGGGGAAGGCATGGGGAGAAAGAGGAGGTTAGACGCAGGCACTGCAGCAGCATCGGAGGGAACCTGGGGAGAAGCTGGAGGCTACATGGGGTGACTATAGTCTGGAGGTGGGCAGGCTCTCTAATATTGGCCCCAATTGTGTGTTTGAATGTACTCTTGAACCCCTCTCTCCTTGCCCTGGCTGCTTCCAGCCTGGAGCTGCAAGCACATTGAGAGCTGCCCTATTGTGACACTTTGGGGAATGCAGTGCAGATTCTGGAACCAGCCCTGAAGGTCTTGCTTATCCTGCAAGTCCAGACCGGGAATGTGATTGTGCCTCTGAAGCTGCTGGCAGCTTAAGCTGCGTCTCCAGCAAACGGAATGGGGGCTCTTGTGGACAGCGGGAGAGCTGACTGGCACAGAGTCCTCACAAAGTGAGCAGCTTCCTTCCAAGGCTGCCTGTAAGCGTGTCTACAGGTGCAATGGCACTATGCAAACCACCTAACGGATGAGTGGCAAAAGTGAAGCTGCACATGTCGGCTGGGTTTCAGTGACTCTGGTGCTGAGTTTCTCATGACTTCTGTCAACACTATCACCATTTTTGCAGTTATGGCTCAAGAGGTTAAGGAACATTCATAACCCCCTTCGAGACTAAGCGCACACGCAAGTCCTCCAGCTGGGATGGGATGACTGAGCGCCACCTGCTGGCGGCAGGCCCAGCTGTCCAGGTGTTAACTCTTGACACCTTTTCTGTTTTAGGTGGTGGTGCAAGTTGGCCCCTTTCCCTCTCCCTGTTCCCACATTCTACAGTGGACTGAAAAAAGGAGAGGGCGGGGAAGAGCTAGAGCAGCTGGGACACAGTGACCTGACCCTGGGCTGACAGCACGGTAACCATGACGACTGCAACAGCAACTGGATTTCCTGAGCCAGCCTGTGCACCATGGTGTCCAGCTGGTCTTGGTAATTCTGGGGTCTGCTAACCACTAGCTTCAGGATGGGAAACCCCTAAAAGGTTGAGTCACTTGTCAAGGTCATACTGTGAAAAAGCACTAGGGGCACCTTCAGGATATCTGGGTTTAAATCTCTTGGTCTGGGATTCCTTGGGTTTTTTTTTTTGGCAGCAGACTCTTTGAACACTTAGAATCTCAAAAGCAGATAAAATCAGAATTGCTCTGGGTGTTGTGGGATGGAGGATCTGGTCTCCTGAGTTACGTCCTCTAGGCTCCTGAGAACCGAGAACCTCTGCCTGGGGAAGGCTCCTCCTAGGGGGAGCCTGAAGGTTTGGGCAGCTAAGTCACTTACCTGATGTCAAAACGCAGCAGTAAGGCAATGAAGATGCCTGCAGGGAGAAAGCCAGGGTTAGAGGGTGGCAGGGAAGTGAGTGTCTCAGGAGGGCTTGGAGACAGAGAAGAGCAAACAGTGAACTAAATAGGCAACAGGGCCGGCAACTTGGTGTTCCCTGTGATGGAGCAATCACCGGGGTCAAGGGCATGGCCAACATTACCAACTGCCAGCAGAAATGCCCTTTCTTTACTACCAGGTGCTTTGGCCTGGGGCCACATTGCCATGGCACCATACTGTGTCACACTGGGTCCTTCCAACCAAATGTTTATTGAGGGTCTGCTAAGTACTAGAGGGGCAAAGCAAAAATCACGGCTTTCATGGAGCTCAGCCACAGGGGCACAGGACAGACATGCCAAGCAGACAGTCCTGAAAATCAACATAGGATAACTGAAAAGATGCTTCCAGAGTCATGGGAAGGTGATCAGGGGATGAGACCCAGGTTTGGGGAGGGAGGCTTGGAGGAAGAGAAAGGAGGCTTTTTTGAGGACATGACAATGTCAGGAAAATGGAACAATGTATGCAGAAGTCCTGAGGAAAGAGCGTGCAGGGGTCAAGGCACTAATAAGCTTGCAGCCCAGAGCAGGAGATGCAGGGAATGGACTAGTTGGGGAGCATGGGGTCTTTATCCTGAGAGGAAGGGCATACATGAAGCGTTCTAAGCAGGAGAATCACCGCAACAGGTTTTGAAAAGGTCCCCACGGTGGCTGCTTGTCCAGAGGGAGGACAAGAAGCTGACTATGAGGAAACTCTGCCACTGGGGCTCAGGAGAGCCTGGTTTACGCTGCTTACTGACCGCACTCCTAGTCACACTGCAAAGCCCAGCCCAGACACCCAAGAAGCCTGGGAGCTCCTGAACCACAGCCAGCCAGCCCCGGCTCTGTATGTGGCGCGCACACACACATTAGCCTGAGTGTCTGTGTCCCTGCGGTTCAGAAGCTCAGACAGGGCGAGGGCTGAATCTCATTCAGTCCAGAGCAGACTCTCAAGGATGGAAACATTCTGGTCAGAAAGCTTCAGAAGGCAACATACTAGCGAAAGCTGTGTAAGTGGGTGGACAGAGGTGGCCAACGAGCAGTGTAGGTGGCAAATGAAGCCTTTCCCCCAAAGCCAAGGGCTCAGCGCCCTCTGGTGGCTGAATTTTCCAACTAACCCGGGGGTCGGAGTTGGCTGCAGTTTTCACTCCTATTAACACAGCTGATTCTTGGAACAAAGCCTGCAAACCATCCTTTGAAAAACATCACCAGGGCTCTGAGCATGTAACTGACTTACACTCACGGTGACCACTGACAGAATCAGCTGGACGTGTTGTGCACAGACACACGCAGAGACGTCCCCGGCATGCCTCAAGCCTGGAGGCACGACCAGTGAGGGAGGACGTAGGGAGGTCTGTGTGGGGGCCTGTGACCGACTCTGTCCACACAGAGCCCAGTGCTTTATGGAACTCAACTTCTCCCTCCTGATGGCGGTGCCTCTTCCTGGGGAAGCAAGTCTCCCTGCCTCACCAAGCCACAGCGCATGGGAACACCTGGGCCCAAGACCGTACGCCCACGTGCCCCAGACCTCAGGCAAGTCTTTGTGAAGCTGTTTCCTCATCTGTGAAATGGAAATACCCTCTACTTCACCAGGCTGCTAGGACAATGTACAAAATGCACCTGGCATGAAGCCTGGCACACACAGGTGTGTGCCTGGGTCACAAATGCATGGTCTGTAGCTTCCTATTACTGCAGAGAGTACAGTTCATTCTGACTGTGCAAACTTTTTCTTTTTAGTCAGACAGTCCTGGTCTGCGCTGTGGCCCTGCTGCTTATAGTGGGTGTTTATAGAAGTCTCTTCTCTTTGAACCACTGCTTTGTCTCCACATGTGGGACAACATGAAAGCATCACAACAGAAGCACCTGTGCCAGCCAGGTTACTGAGAGAACTGCAACAACTTCCTACAGTGGAAAGCAATTTGGCTTTTAATTTTCCAAAGTTTTTAAACTTTGGAGTTTTATTTAAAAGTTTTTTAATGGCCTCCCTCAGTGGCACAGCAGTTGAGCTCTGGGCTGCGAAGCTGCCTGCAGCCTCTGCAGCGCTGGTTCAATCCCTGGCTGCTGGGCGAGGGTCCTACATGGCGCGCAGACCTATCTTGCTGCCCGCTGCTCCCCTCAGCAGTGTACTTTGTCAGTCTGCCTGTTTTGCTCTCCGCTCTGGCTCTGGTGAATTTTCTCACCCTCCCGCGCTTCTGACTGTACCCAGTGCTTGTATAAATAATTAAATAAATCTTAAAAAAAAATAAAAGTTTTTAAAAAGCTTTTAAGCAAGCACCAGGCCTCTTTTGAGCTTTTGGGACTCATGCCCTTTGGGTGTGACCAGGCCCAGATCTGCAGGTGTACAACATCCAAGCCTCAGCCACTTCACCTGCCTTAAGTGGCCACTCAGCTTTGCTCTTAGTCTCTTGCCTGGCAGTTTAGGCCACTGGTGCCCTGCAACAAGACAAGGTCACAGCCCTCAGAGATGTATGCCTACCATTGGGCCTGCATTCAGGGGCACTCGAGCTTATAACCGCAGGTACACTAACCGGCACCCACATGGAGCCATGGGTCAGAGGCCAGCTCGTGTACCGTGCATGGGTCACATGTCCCTCAGCCAAGACTGTAGAGGCCATGACCCCATGAGGCCAGGTCCACACACAGGCATTCTCCCTGGAGCCTCCTGGCACTGGAGAGAGGAGCAGCAAGGGGAGTGTGGTGGGTCAAGCCCATGTGCAATGCCAGTACACACTGGAAGTGCAAGGACGCATGCAGGCGTTTGAGGGTCAGGTTCCTTCGTGATGGTCACGGATATGCTTTTTCAGAGTGTTTCAGTCTGTCATTAAACAGGTACTTTGTAACTAAACAACCTCTGTTCAACCAAATCAGAAGCTCTGTGAAGACTGTCCTGCTCTCTGCTGTCCTCCCTGTGTCCAGCTCAGGGCCTGCCGCACACCTGCAGTTCTTTACCAAACCCTCAGCTGACTGGGGGCTGGGGGTGTGCAGTCACCTGCCTAACCCCTCACCCCTCTTTCTCAAGGGGTAAGGCTGGTGGTTTCATAGCATTCCTCCTCTACCCAGGCAATACCCTCTCTACCCCTTGTGACTCGGCCCCCACCCCAGCCTGGTCACCTGGAATGACGATATCTCCAAGTCCCAACATGGCAAAGTTGTCTGCTTCCAGGCCCTTCTCCAGCAGATCCTGAGGAAACACCACTGCGGGGGGGGGGGGGGGGGGGGGAGGGAGGGGTAGAGATGCGAGGAGTCAGTCAGGACCCACGTCCCTTCCACTCCCAGCCCCCACCTCCTTGCATGAGTCTCACACTGGCATCTGTGGGAGGGGAGGAGGGGAGAGAGAACGCAGACTGGATGAAGGGCAAGGTCTCCATCTGGAACCACAGCTGATTAGAGTGGGGAAGAATCCAGGATCATCTAGGCCAAAGTTTAATGCCTTTGTGGAGTTATAACTAACACACCACACACACAATTTCAATGACCTTTCTGGCCATGGAACACTTAAGTTAAAAGGGATCAACCTCACAGCACAGCACAGCACATAAAAGAGTCCATGTATTCCCAACATCTAATCAGCAACATGGGTTCTCCCTGCAACATGGGTATGGACAATAGCCTTTGTTCTGAAGCAGGGGGAGCTGGGACTGTTTCTGGATCTGCCAAGGGATCCACCCTTGCAAATTCCTTGCGCTAAGCCCCTCACTCAGAAATCCAATTGGCTGGCTTGACTGAATAAATGCAGACTGAGAGAAACCCTTCCCCCTGTGCCCAGTTATTGTAAGGTTTCACTCATAAGGCTTTGCAAGTAGAAGAGCAGTTACATGTGGGCTTCAGAGTCAGGCTGAGTGGGTCTGAATCCTGGCTCTGGCTGTGCCTTAACTTCTCTGTGCCTTAGTTCTCTCACCTGTGAAATGGGTACAAAAGATCGGACGCTATAGGGTGTGGTGAGGATTAGTGATCTGCACACAGCAGCTACACCATACATTCTTTACTACCCTAGTCCTGACTGTGTGGAGCACCCTTCCCTGGTGATGGATCCAGTATTGGTGCAAGGCTAAGACAATTAGAACAATCCAGATTCCTGACCCCCTACCCCTGTGACCACTAGGCGTGGTCACGTGACCTGGTTTTGGCCAATGGCATGGAAGCCGGAGTGCGTTGGAGGTAAGCTTGTGCTTCCATGGTACACAGAGGCCTTCCCTGCTCAATTCTTCCTGCTTTGACTGTACACGTTCACTATACAGTCATCTACAGACATCCTCACTTGATCCTCTCCATGCTGTACCGTTCAATTCTGAGTGGCAGCTGAGGAAATCAGGAAATCAGGAGAGGGCAAGTCTCCTCCTTAAGGCCACACAGCCAAGAGATGTCAGATCTGGGTTTGAAGTGCAGGTGGCCTGACTTCAGCATGTGTGCACATGAACACTCTGCCTCTGAGCGCCACTCCTTGCACTAGAAGTAAGACGGCTTCTCCCCAACCCAGAAAACCAGGTTCCACACACCAGAAACCAATACCACAATATGATTTCCCTATTCAGAGCCTTACAAGCTTCCTGGCAACTCGTCCTCCCCAAATCTTGTCTCTTTCATGCTTCTTCCCTCCCTGAATCTGCTCCCAGGGTCCTCCATCATCTTCCTGCCTCCAGCCCTCAGCTGAAGCTGTACTCTTTCAAAAGCCCATACTGCTCCTGCAGGCCTCGTGAATGTATAGTCATCCTTTCTGACCCAGGAATGCTTTTCCTGACCTCTTGGCTGGGTTCATCCATCAAAGCATGCGGGGACTAACTGTTCTGGCTTGCCCAGCATCTGTCCTGTCGCTCTGGAGAACTGACCTCACTTCAACTGTGGGGGGCTGGCAATTCAAATACTCTGCCCCTAGGCACTAGGGAGGGCAGAGACCCAGACGCCGTCCTGCCGACCCTCCGTCTCCCCAGTGGTGAACGTGCCTGACTCGTGGGTCAGGCCCCAGAGGTTTATTCAAGCCAAAGCAGGGAGAAGACAAGGTATGACCAAAGCAGGGGCCGAGGGGACACACAGCCGGGCAGTGGGGGAAGTCTCTTACATTTTATTGGTGCCTCAAAGGACTTGGCCACTGTCACCATCACGTTGGTGCCAAATACCTAGAAGAGGAGAGAGGTGTCTGGAAGGAGGAGAGGGCGGTGGGAAGGAATGGCTATCTTTGGGCTTTGCATGCTGCAGCCTGAGAGCTGCAGGGCAGGGGGTGGGGTGGAGGTGGGAGGGACCCAGAGCAGAGGTGAAGCGAAGGTGAGGCAGCCAGTGATACTGGTCAGTGGGATACTTTCCAGGGTTCCAGGTTGTGGGCAACAAAGAGGGTCAATTTGAAGGAGTGTGAAAGGGCAGAGGAAGGCTCTAGCCAAGCTTCCCGTTTGTCCAGGGCTCTGCCCCTTTGAAGAGAACAAGTCCTCCAGCACTGCATACTAAAGGGGAGAGGCAGCCTGAGGCCTGGAAAGGGAGGGTAGGGCTGATGAGTGTGGCTGGTCCCCCAGCCCAGCTGTGTAGACAGAGCAGCTGCTAACACGCCCCTGACCTCAGGCGCCAGTGTGCTATCTACTACACTGCCTGAACTGCTGAGTCTCAGCTGGTCTCTGGGGTGATGTAGAATTGAGTGACACCCCTGCTGGGGCCACCTGAAGGAGCCCCGAGGGTGGCTGGGAGGCAGCGGCCAGGAGAGTCTCAGCAAGCGGTGGAATCTGCTTTTGTCAGAGATGAGAGGCACCTGCTCTGGGGTGTGCTGTCAGGCCAAGGCAGGTGCCCCTCATCAGATAACTGCCTCTTGGGCCCAAGAGACGGGGGCGGGGGTGGTGGGTGCAGGGTACTGGAAGGCAAGGGGGTTGGCAGCCAGACACCCTTCTTTGTGTCCCCGCCTGACTCACCCAGAACACATCGTAGATGAAGAGTCCGCCCAGCAGGATGCAGCCAGTGCTGACATTGTTCAGATGCAGAAGCTCTACCCCGTTAAGGGAGAAGGCCAGGCCAAAGAGATTGTTGGCGATCCAGTGCTGGGGAAGGTGGGAGTGAGACCAGCCGCCGTGCACGCCCTGTCCTCCCTCTTGCTCCTCCTGGCACTGGCTACTTACCTTCCGCAGCAGGTACCAGACACCAACGATGCTGCTCAGGCCCAGGCACACCAGGTCCTTGGTGTCAAACTCATAATTGATGATCTCTGGGCAGAGAGGCCGGGTAAGTCCACTCCCCGGGGCGGGGCTGCCCCTCCCACCTGTCAGCCCCTGGACGGAGGAGGGCATGGCTGTGGGCACTGTCAGAGGCCCACAGGCTGGGGTGCTCACTGGAACCACCCCAACCCCTCCGATTTCCTAGAAAAGGACAACAGAGGCCCAGAGAGAACGCAGTTCTGGCTCAGGAGAGTGGGACTGGAAACGCAGACTCTGCACTTGTAGGTGGGCGACCATCGGGGAAGACCGTTTTCTCATCTCTAACAAGGGGTTCATGGCACCTCCGTCACAGGGCTGCTGGGGGGGGCACATGTGAGATGGTCCTGACAAAGCGCTCAGCAAAGTGCCTGGCACCCAGGAATGCTCAGTTGATGCTGGCTGCCACCAGACCCAGGCCTTTAGCAAGGTCCCAGCTCACTGGGGAACCTTTCTGCTGCCACCATAGAGGTCAAGAAGGCTGCTGGCAGCCCAGTGACACCCATGGAGGAGGAGGAGAAGGAGGAAGGAAAGAGGCCAAGGCCCTGGAGAAAAAGCAGGAGGCAGCGCTGAGGCCGCTGGGCAGGGAGCCCTGAGCAGCCAGTCCGTGTCAGAGCCAGTCTCCACTGCTTCCCAGTTTCTCATAAGGAAGCTGGGACAGGTGGCTCACAGAGGACAGTTGTTTCTTTCAGATTTCAGGGAGGGGTAGACTGGTTGGCGCCAGTTTCTGTCCTCTCCTCTGTGGTAACAGCTCTCTGGTGATTTTTAACTGGACACAAGGCCAGGTCACAGCACATTTTCTAGGCCCCCTGCAGCTACATGGGCCATGGCAGAGCTGCCTCTCCCTCTGGCTGGGCTGTAGAGGGATGGTGCATCCCTATGGGCCTGCGGGCCACTGCATGTGGCGGGGCATGAGACAGACTGTGTGGTACACGCTTAGCCATCATACAAAATCGCTGCTTTCTGGGGACAGGGAGAATGTGCTGGGCGGCAGTGAGAGAGAGTGCGGCAAGTCCAGGCTTTTTCCTGTCAGCGACGGCTGCACCATCTAGGTGTGAGCCAGCACCCTTGAGGACAGTCCCGTGATGAGGCTGCCTACCGCATTTTTCTCAGAACACGGCCTGGTCGTTAAGAGACACATCACTGTCCCTGCCACTTGGCCAAGCCGTTTATAATGCATTTATTACAGCACTGGAGCCTGTGCCCTAACTAACCCCCAAAGGACTTTCCCTAATTCCCCATAGTTTGCATTTTCAAGAGCCACAGAACCTCATTTTCAAGTCCCAGGGAGGAGAGCACTCACTCTAAAAACAGACATGTTAAAATAGCTACAAGAACCCCCTTTCTGAGTCCTTTTTTACAAGGCAGGCAGGGTGCTGAAGGCTGCCTACCGAGCGCTCACTAGCAATCCTGACAAGAAGCCAGTGAGGGAGGTGCTAGGTAATTCGCATTTTACCGAATCAAAAACAATCCTCAACACCCGCCCCCACCCCGCCCCCTCTCTGCACAGAGAGGTAAAGGAATTTGCCCGGAGTCCCCCATTTAGGCCACAGCAGAGCTGGGAGGTGACCCCGGCAGAGTGGTCCCAGAGCCCACCTTCCCTGTCAGTCGAATGGAACTGGGAGACACCAGGGCACACCTGGGGCGGGGGTGGCACTGACCTTCCTTGTTCTCCCCGGAGCCCTGAGTGAAGAGCAGCTGGTACTGTCGATATGGGAAGTTGGCTGGAAAGAACTTATTCATGAAGGGGCTGGAAGGAAAGAAAAAGCAGGTTGGCAACAGAGCCCCCAAGAGGCATTGAGAGCTGTCCCCTCCTGACACCCTCACAGCCGCCCTGGTAGGCAGGTGCTGCTGTCCCTCTTCTATAGGTGTGCAAACAGGTGCTCAGGGGGCAAGTGACAGCCCAGAGCCACAGAGGGAGTCAGGATCTGAGCTAAGACTCAAACCCCGTGTCTGGATGCCCAGGCATCTACACTGCCTCTTGGTCAGCACCCAAGAAACACAAAGCAGAGACAGTTAGATTTCATGTAAAATGCAGTTTTGAGGAGAGCAAAGGATACCCAAGTCTGGTCCATGTACTGCCCAAGAGCTGTCAAGAATGCACTGTTCCTGTATACCCTGCTGGATCCATCAAGGCAGATAACCTGATGGTCATCACTACCCATCCCAGGACTTACTAGGCCTGAGGCTTGTACATGTTTGCCAGACCTGATCAGCCAGATAAATCACAGCCCTAAGATGGGAGCACCCCACATTCACTCGTTCCACAAGGCCTCCCTGGCTCAGGATGGCCTCATGGTCGTCTCTGGAAGCATTCTCTCTGATACTCTCCTTCCCTGTCAGTCAAGGAAAGGAGACTTTTTTTCTTGCACCTTCAGAGCAAGATTAGTAAATCAGGGGTCCCTTGGCTCAGTCTGGTCCTGGGGCAGCAGTGTTGCAGAGTGACCACAAGCTTGGGTAGCCCAGCCCTGAAGCCTGCTCTGCCATACACCAACCCTGTGGCCCTGGAGGGTCACTTGAGTGGCTTGGTGTCCACAGCTAGTGGGGATAATACCACTGCTGTGAAGCTGTGAGAGAAGGCAGGGGAGCTTAGCTCAGCAGAGGACTCACAGCAGGGATAGAAGAACTCTGAGCTTCCATCATCTATTGTCCTTATCCAGAGGCTGAACTCCAGAGCATCTGGCAACACTAGATGAGTATGACAATGACTAATGAAGTGGGGAAATCCAGAAAGATGCTCCCTCTGGTAGGTAAACAGAGACAGGCCAAGAGGAACCCAGGGCAGGGGAATACAGGCTAAGACCTTCGGCCTTGGGGAAAGAAGATGTGGAGTCAACTATCTCTGGGCCTGTTTCTGCTTGTCAGTCAATGCCTCCCATAGACGAGAGGGCTGTGTGATGAGAGGGGACAGGCATGGGCTTCTACTTGATGCTACTTCCAACCCAGTATACTACATCAGTTTTGATGAAGTCTGAAGTCACTGTGTGTGTACAGAGAGAGAGAGAAGGCCTGAGGAGTTCATGCCATCCTGTCTCTTCCTCAGGACTTTGAAATTTAGCTCCTCAACCAGCAGAGTATAGTGATGAAGAGTATGGACTCTGCAGTCAGACTTCCTAGGTTCAAATCAAATCCTGGATCTGTCACTTACTAGCTGAGTGACCCTGGGAAACTTACTTAGCTGCTCTGTGCAACTGTTTCCTTATTTGGAACACAACAATCTTTCTCATAGGGTAATTAAGAGAATTAAGTGGGGCCTCCCCGGTGGCGCTGCGGTTGAGCACTGGGTTGCGAAGCTGCCCGCAACCTCTGCGGTGCCGGTTCGATCCCCGGCTGCTCCCCGGCCACCGGAGGAGGGTCCCGCATGGCGCGCAGACCTCTCTTGCCGCCCGCTGCTCCCCTCAGCAGTGTACTTCGGTCCTTCTGCCTGCTCTGCTCCCCGCTCTGGCTCTGGTGAGTTCTCTCACCCTCCCACGCTTCTGACTATACCCAGTGCTTGTATAAATAAATAAATAAATCTTAAAAAAAAAAAGTTAAAAAAAAAAAAAAGAGAATTAAGTGAATACTTGGCAGCCATTAAGCTTAACAGTAGCTTTCATTTCAAGTTGAAAGTTTCTACTGATGTCTTTGTTATCCTGAGAAAAGAGGGGCAGCTGGCTAACGCAGGACCAAGTCCAGGCAACCTGGCTGGACTTGAGGGAGGGGGCCTGTCTCAAACCTTTGCCCTACCGAGGGGGACGGCATGTAAATGCTGAGCAGCTCTGAATGTAGACTTCTGTAGCAGATAGAGGTTCTTTCTGGCCCTTGATGGCTCACATCAAAACTAAAGGTTGCTGAGCCTCCCTGGTGGTGCAGCGGGTTGAGCACCACACTGTGAAGCTGTCTGCAGCCTCTGCAGTATGTGTTTGATCCCGGCCGGCCGGCCGGCGAGAATCCCACATGGCGCAGCAGACCTCTCCTGTCTCGCCCGCTGCTCCCCTCAGCAGTGTACTTCATCAGTCTGCCTGCTCTGCTCTCCCCTCTGTCTCTGGTGAATTCTCTCACCCTCCTGCACCTCTGGCCTGTACCCCAGCTTTTGTATAAAAATAAAAAAATCTTAAAACGAAATACTAAAGGTTGCTGCTTCTGGGAAAGCACATGCTGGTGCCCCTCTCCCCTGGGTGTAGAAGTGAGCGGGTCAGCAATGAGTCCGAGGGTCAGCCATGTCCGATGTGGCTGCCTCCTCCCGGGTGGCAGAGTTTGGCCTTTCTTTCTCTAAAGGTCAGCTGAGTAGGGCATGAGCTCAGAGGTGGCAAAGCAATCTGAGGTACCCTTAGCAAGAAGGATTTGGGGACTATGCAAGGTGAGGGCAGGCTTTGGCTCGCCTTCTCCTGGAGCCTCAGGCTGCGGTTTCTCCCCAGAAAGGCCCGAGGTGGGTGGAGGTGGTGGGGAGGTGAAGACCTTCTGTGAGAACCTGCCACCACCGCTGCTGCAGGGGCGCTGATGCAGTCTGGGGCTCAGCTCTTTCAGCAGGTCTCCCCTTTGCCAATCCTCAGGAGACGGCCAATCGCACTGACCCCTGGGAGTGGCCGGCCAGGCCAGCCTCTGTAAGCTCTTTTCCTCTTCACTTCTGCCAAAGTTGGAAAGAATGCTGGCCGTGGAGTCTGACAGACCTGCTCAAACCCTCTGTGCTCCTCTGAGCTATGAACCCCGGTGATGGAGCCGCTGAGCTTTATTGGCCCCGTCTTGAACTTTCAGACATTACTGTTTGGATCCCGACTCTATGTGGGCATGAACAGCTTACCAAAATTCTAACGATGAGGTTATGCACCCCTTCCTTTTTCACTAAAATTGTTTTTACCGGATTTAGCTCTTTTCCATGTAAATTTTACAATAATGATTTCATTCATCCCAGAGTTTGGTTCATATCAAATTTTTCAGAGACTAGCTTTGACCCTGTATGGCGAGCACCCTTTGCCCAGGACTAGTCATTATTTTTACAAGGACTGACTTTCCTAGATCATATGTTGTGCTCTAAGTCTTATCAAGGAAAGGATTCTTGTTAAATCTCAGTTGCTAACAAATTTCACCATGCGCAGTTTTAGCTGCTGTCGGCTCTATTTTGTGTTCATAATTTCTATCAGTAAAAATTATGAATTGCCTGAAACAACTGTTTCTTGGTTAAAACATGAGAAATTTGGAACCCTGCTTCTCAGTGATTGTTCCAAAAGAGAAAAAAGTATCTCTGGTGTCAAAACACTACAGGTTCCAGAACCCTGCTCAGGCAAGTGGGTGGCTTGCTCCCTGGGGGGCAGTGAGAGAAAGTGATTCCTCGGCCTCTCAGCACACAGCCCCTGGGGGTTTTCGAAGGCTATTGGGCTTTTTCATTCTGAGGTGTGGCTGGGCTGTGGGGAGCCTGGAGGCCTCAGGCTCTTGCCAGGTGGGGTGGGCTAGAGTTGGGAGATCCTAATTAGCATGGGAAATGCAGGGCGCAGTGCCTGGGACTGGCCCGAAGCCCATCAGGAAAGGAGGTCTGTCCTTTGGGGAAGGGCGCCACCATCCTGCTAGGCCCAGTTCTCCAAGCCTGCCTTTTTTTAGGCTGGGGGGCTGGAGAAGAAGTACCCCACCCTCCAGACAGTGTGGGAGTGTGGCCAGTGAAGTGACGGTGTAGTTGTAGAAAACACTGAACTCAGTCAAAAGAAAAGAGCGCAAGTGCCAGTTGTGTGGCCTTGGACCGGCCACTTGACTCACAATTGCGGCAGCCTCTGCCGCTGAACGCCAGTGAACTTACTGGAAAGAGGGAGGCTTTCACTCAGACGCATAGTACATCTGAGTGAATAAGACCCCCTTCCCCTGTGCGCTGGACTGGACAGTCAATGACGGGTAAGATCGGGGGCAGACTAAAGAAGGCACTGGCCAGCCGTATGTCTGCGACTCCTGACGACCTAAGACAGGCGCAGTCCCCGAGGGGCTTCATTATGATAATCTTTGGCGATCAAATCAGACAAATGGCTAAAGGCCTGTAAGCCCAATCCAGGTGTTAAACCCGCAGTAAAAAACCCCTTCTTTTGGCTGAGAACATGGCTGCTGCCTGATGGAGTCACCAACAAAACGGTTTAACTATTAACCAGTTGGTCATTGTTCCTGCATAAGAAGCAACATAGCAACCAGTCTATAATTATACTATTTTCTTACCTACTTTACTTTTTCTATATATGTGTAAAATCAGTTTCAGGAAATGCATGATGAAGAAAATAGCATGTGGTAAAAGTAGTTTCGGAATAATCATAATACTTCTCACATGAGTCAATACACAAAAATTAAAATGCTTACGTAGAGAATATATTGTTCGTGATCACTAAAAGTAAAATGTAGCAGTAGTTAAATATTAATGCTTTCTGATAATTGTGGTCTTGGAAACAAAACAAGAAAAGCTACCTTAAAGAATGCTGTTCTGTGTAATCAAAAATAATTGTGTAGATTTAGATTCCTGTAATCAGAACCTTGCGATTGTTTAGTGTACCATGCCATGGAACATCGATCACATGTACCTGAATGATGAAGTAAATGTCTTATGTATGACTAAACATCTCATGCTGAAAAAAAAATTAACTTGTATGAAATCATCCATTGTTAAAAAAGTATAAAAGTGTATAATGATTTTGAGCACATTACATTCAGATCTTCACTCTTGAAGTGTGTCTGTCTGTCATTTATGCGCTGAATCCTTGACCATCCTGCATGAGTTTCACATCCCTGGGACGGCCTTGCCAGTCTACCGCTGCGCTGGTCTGTGGCACACAATGAATTTCAACTGCTAACAAATTTGACTCCCTCACTGACCCACCAGTGTGGCCAGAGGAGGGAGGCCACACTTGCCCTGGCCGTCACTGCCTGTTGCGAGCAGATCCCGCTGTCTGTCTCTCTAGCTTTTTCTTTGAGTGTTCTGGGGACCCCGCTGTGTCTTCCACGTGTGTAGACCCTTTGGGAATCTGTGACTGTCTCTGGTAGTGAGGTTTTGGATGACTGCTGTTTTCACCTTTTTACTTGGCTGGCTTCTCCCTCCTTGTACCTCTCCCAGGTTTCCTGTCTCGCACAGCTGAGTTCAAGCTGTGTTCCTTCTTTCCGGGAACATTCCCAGGCCTGCTGGCCACATGATGGTCTATCACTGGTTCTCAGCTGAAGCCACCTCAAGGGGCCAGACAGAAGCATGTTGGGACACTTTTGTAGTCACAAGCTAGTGGCAGGGCTGAGGACGCAACTGCCATTTGCTAAGCAGGACCAGGGATGCCAAATGTTTACACAATGGAAAACTGGTCTGTCTAAAAGAACAATAGCAGGCCCCCCTAGGGACTGCTGGTCTAGATGGTTCATCCTCCTGAACAACACAAGCATGTGGCAATCTTAGCAGGGGGCTATGGTAAGAGGATGGTCTCTGGGGCCACAAAGGCCTGGCTTTGAATCTTGGCTCTGCTGTTTATTAGCTGTGTTATCCTAGCAAAGTTCCTAACCTCTCTGCACTAGTTTCCAAAGGTAACAGGATTAACAGCAAAAGCTAACCTTGTAAAGTTATCAGGTCAACATAGGAAGTAAGCATTAACACATTAAGTGCCAGATACTATACCAAAAGTTAGTTTCCACATGACCCATGAGGAAGGTTCTATATATTTTCCTCCATGTGTAGATGGGGAAACTGAGGCCAGAGAGATATAAGTAACTTGCATAAAATCAGGGCTAGTGCATGTCAGGATCTGGAATTAAAGTCTGACAGCCAAATTCCAGAGGCCACACTGCTAGCTTCTCACTCCACTGCCTCGCTCTCATTATGAACTAAGACTACCTGTGAGGAGCCTGGCTTAGGGCTGGCTGCAGCAGGCTGCAAGGCCAGGTCGGAGGCAGACAAGTGACACAACTGCTGTTCACAAGCAGCTTTTCCCACAACCATGAGGTCTTTCCCACCCCATGGGGTCCTTCCCACCTCATGGTTGTGGGAAAAGCTGCTTGTGAACAACAGTTGTGTCAGGGAAAGGCCCACTGGGTACTCCTCTCACGCCCCGTAAGGAAACTGTGGCCTGGTTGTCGTCCTAGGCCACTCACAAAGTGATAAGGGGAAAGATTCCCTTGGTTTTCCAGCCAGGATTCAAACCCAGCTCTGAATGATGCCAAAAGGCATGTTCTCATCCAAGACCCTGTACTGGCTCCCGAGAAAGCTGCTTCAAAGGTTGCGGAGATGCCATCTGACCTGATGGTGTGGGACAGGGCCAGGATTCCCAGCACGAAGAAATACATGGACAGCAAGAGGTTGATGTACTCCTGGGAGAATATCTGAGGCAGAAATACAAAGAGAAACAGAAAGTCAGGGTTGTAGGTGACCACGAAGAAGCCAGAGTTCTCACTTCTCTTGTGAAGGCTGGTCTCCCCCTTCTGGAGGAGGGGAACGGTGTCAGGGAGAATCTCAGACAGCACTACAAGCTCCTAGTTTCTGTGGCGATGGAAAAAGGAAGGCACTTCAAGCCCCCAGATGTACCTCCTGAAGGAACCTATGGATTTGCACTTGGTGGCTCCATTATTTGGAGTCAGGCACTGTTATGTCTGCCCAGAGTTCTGGGGAGGGGAGACTGAAGTGTAGAGTCCCATGAGAGCCTCTTGAACCTTGGAATACACTCTTCCAAGTTTCCTTCTCCCTGCTCAAAATCCCCACAGGGCCACCAAGGCCCCACGCGTGGGCGCGCCCACTCCATTCTCCACACCATGTTCTTCTGGATGGTTCCTCCCAGCCACAGCTGGAAGGAATGACAGCAGGCTCCAACAGCTGCTTCTTGGCCCTGTAACTGTTAGGTGAAACTGAGAAATGTTCTCTTTCCAATGCTCCAAAGCCAACTGCCACTGTTTATTCTGGACTTTGGAAAGGTTATGCCACATCACTCCCCATTTGCTGCACTGTCTTCTGAGTTTTTTACTGTGATGGAGTCTCACGGGAGGGAATATGTGCCATTGTATGGGGCATAGGCGTGTGGCTGCTCTCAAGCAGGGCTGCAGACTCTGTAAATCCCTGTCCAATGGCGTCACTCCCCTGCTTAAAGTTTCTCAACAGCTTCCCTCTGCTCTCACACGTGCAAGGCCCAAGCCCTCCCCTGCCTCTCAGGCTCTCTGGTGACCACTGCAGACCTCCCTGGCTGCCACTCACGCCACACGTGCTCGTTTTACATGCTGTGGCAACACTGGCATTTTCGCATGGCCTTTTCGCGCCACAGTCCCATCCACGGGCAGCCCGTGCACATGGTCCACTGCCAGGGTGGTTCCCCTCCTGCCACCCCGGCCATTCCTGCTTAGTCTTCTGCAGCTCCCACCTCAAAGCAGCCTTTCTGGACATAAGCGTCCCCTCCTTAAGCGATTTACTCCCCCTCCTTAAGCGACATAAGTGATTTACTCATCGCTTATTATGTGCAGGGCATTTGCTAGCCACTGGGGGACATGGTAAGGAAGAGGGCAGAAGAGCCTCTGTCCTCATGGAGTTCAAGTGCCAGTAAGTGTAAAGGAATCTGAAAAGACATAAATATGCAACACCCCCAGGTGGTGATGGGTGCTAAGAAGCAAAGCAAGGCGAGCAGAGTGAAGGGTGAGAGCTGCTATTTTTGTCAGGTCGCCAGGGAGGACACTTAGCAAGATAATGGAGCACCTGTGAGGATATTTTCGGGAAGAACATTTGAGGTAGGGGGGTGAGTGGAAAGGTCCAGTGTGCAGGGAACACTGAGAGCTACAGAGTCTTGGGCTGAGGGACTAGAAAGTGTCAGCAGATGAAGCTGGAAGGTGAGAGGGCGAGAGGCCCTACAGCGCTTTGAAAAAGACTTCAGCTCCATCTGGGTGAGAGAGGCTGGTGCCGTGGCAGCTGTGAAAGCCGGATCTCCACTGTTGTGTAGAAGGCCTGGGGAGGGGGCTGCTGAGCGGCAGGCTGAGGGCTGAGAGCAAGCGCAGGGCGGATGCCGGCTCCTGGGGCATTCGGCAGGGCAGCAAGGTGAAGGGAGGCACTGCCATGTGAGGCTGGGGCCTGGGCAGAAGCAAGGTTTCCCTCTACGCCGGTTTCCTATGCTTTCTTGGTACTACAGACCCTGCCGAGGACTGTAAGCCCCATTCATCTATGTGATTATTTGGTTGGCGTCTGTCCCCACTGTCAGCAAGGTGCTCCTTGAGGCAAGGGTGGGTCGGCTGCTTTTTTCATTGCAGTATCCCCAACACCGGACCTGGTGCAGAGCAGGCGCTCAGGAAGCATCTGTAGCACAACTGGCTGCATGAGCACCTCAGAATGCTGCGGGCACCAGTCCGTATGTGCTATGGAGATGAGGTGCTCTCTATGTTCCTTCAGGGCAGGCATGTGGGAAACATCGCTCTCTGGCTGCACCTCTGAGGTTGCTCTGACTCGAGGCATGCACTGTGCAGCAAGTCCCACTTTCCTCTGCGCTTTACCCGCCAGCTAGTCAGAGCCACACTGGCACTGGAACTACTTGGAGTAGGAGTACAGGGCATGGGGCCTGGGGCCTGGGTCTGGCCCTCACCCAATGCTTCGATGTCTTATCCCATTTTAATGGTCTAGTTTACTCCAATTTCTTCCTTTACTTATTTTTCTTATGCTGCTAGGTTTAATTTCTATCAGCTGCCTCAAAGCATCTGTTTTAAATGAACTGGGAGAAAGTAATTTTATGAGTTGGATAAATGTTACAAACTCCAGTGCCCTGCCAGGAAGAGCAGAAAAGGGGTAAGACACACTGTTTTTTTTTTGTTTTTTTGTTTTTAAAGATTTATCTATCCATGCATACAAGAGCTGGGGTACAGGCCAGAGATGCGGGGGGTGAGAGAACTCACCAGAGACAAAGTGGGGAACAGAACAGGGAGACTGACTGAAACACACTGCTGAGGGGAGCAGCAAGTGAGACAGGAGGGGTCTGCTGCGCCATGTGGGTTGCTCCCTGGCCGGCCAGGAATCAAACTCGTGCTGCAGAGGCTGTGGATTGCCCCACAGTGGGGTGCTTAACCCCTTGCACCACCAGGGAGGCCCAAGAGCCACTGTTAAGCAAACCCACCAACCAGCTGTCAGTCTGGAGTTTGGGAGGAATCTGGGAGCTGTCGTCCAGGCAGCTGCCTTTCAGAAATCTCAGCATGGATGCTGTGGAGATGGGAGAGAGGCATACTGTATCCTGTGACACAAGGCAGGCTGGGGTTTACCTGCCTGGAAAGGGCAAGCTGGCCAAAAGGCATCCAGTGACTTAAAAGTGTTCACACTCTCTGCTGTCAGAAATTCCTTGCTGGAGAATCTAGCCTAAGGAAAGAACCCAAAATACTAAAAAAGTTAGAAGGTCTGGAGGCAAGGGCTTGGGTGTGTTTGGCTGGCACTAGCACAGCAGACTTGAGATATATCTGCCAAAAACCAGGTCCAAGGCAAGGGGCCAGAGGTACACAGAGCCACAGCGAGATCTCACAGGCATGGGGACAGGAGGACAGAACGGAGGACGGAGGCCACACCGCACAGCTCCACTGTGGAAACCAACTCCCACTCAACACACACATCTCCCATGGCAGAACTTTTATGCGGACACATACACACCTAAGGACATAAATCAAACGCATTAGAGCAGGCACCTTTGGCGAAGGAAATGAAGGTGGGAATGGAGGTGAGCATTAGTGGTGAAAGGGGAGGAAGAACAAGGAGGTGGCTTGGCATGGACCAATGATGACGTGCTATGAACCAATGCACTTGACAGACAAGTTCAACTCTTCACCCGAGGCCCAGCAAAAATAAACAAACCAATGACTACCTAAAGTTATCTGATGCACTCTCTTTAAAAGAGTAAAAACCATAATGGCCTTTCTGTTTAAGGGAGAGGGGTTGCTGCAAGTATCTGGTGAGGGAGTGATGGGAACAGTATTAAAAATTGTTTTTGACTCAGATTGATAAAAATAAAAAGTTGTAATGCTATGCAGTGCAGGTGGGAGTACAGGGGAGCTGGCACACTGGCAGCTGTTAGAAGAAATGTCACCAGCACTTGCTCAGCTGGCCTGGACATCCTACTGCAGATGTCACTGAAAACAAGCGCTGAGGGGGCAGCACACGCAACCCCTCAGGGCACTTCCCTAACTCAGAGCCATGAGCAGCTCCAAGGAAAAGCAGACAGATTTCACTACGCTGATACAAAAATATCTCCAGGGTAAGAATTGAATGTGTGATGTGTGTTTTTGTTTTTAGAATTTAACGTAAACAAAGATGTACGCAAAATAGAAACTATTTTGGGGAGAGGATTTTTGATTCATTTGTATATTCCCTTAGTTGGAAAAATTCTTCACCGAGTACATGTATTTTTAAAATGTAAATTAAAACTCATCCTTGAGGAATATTCAATGATCAGGACAAAAGTGCTTGTGACATGCTATTAATAAAACCAAAGGACACAACACGACAGTTACCATGATTAAAATTATGTTAAGAATATGCTTATTAAAAGCCTGAAAGAAGCTATGCCAAAGCGATTCTCTCTGTACTTTTCCCTCTCTCGGTATTTCTCCTTTGAGTTTTCTCTATATCCTACTTTCATAGTCAGAAAACAATACCTGTTATAGAAAAAAAAAAAAAGGTTTGAGGAGCATTTGCAGTAAGATGAGAAAATGCCGATGACGTGAGTGGAGGGAGTGGAGAAGCAGCTAGAGACAGGCGCCACGTGGTCACGGCTGGGGACCATGCACAGGGAAGAAGAGCGAAGGACACACCTCCAAAGGGAATCTGTGACTGTCTCTGGTAGTGGGGTTTTGGATGACTGCTGTTTTTCCCTTTTTACTTTTCTGTGTTTTCCAGGTTTTCAACACTGAGCCTGTGTAACTTTTATTGGGAAAATAAACCTCGATAAATTAAAAAAAAAAAAAAGAAAGCAATTAGTATGGTAGAGGTATGTCAGAGACACAAGCTATCCCCATCCCGAAATAAATGGAATGATGAGACCAAACTGGTGTCAAGGAAACAAAACAAAAAGCTACCCGAGAAATGCAGACCAGTGGGAAGGAGTTCCAAACACCAAGGTGCTTGTTTCTGGGTACGGGGCCCGAGGTCAAGTACTATTTTGTCCTGTTCTATATTTTCTATAAATGAACATGCATGTCTCCTGTGATGAGAAAAAGAAAAGAAAAGGAAGTCACTTAAACCGAATGACACGCAGGTGGCAAAGGACTTACCTTGAAAAAGAGGTAGAGCCCCAGGAGCGTGCAGCTGGCGATGATGGGGAACCGGGCAGCGTCCCGGCTGGTGATGGTCTCCGGCATGTCCGAGGGGCTCTGGAAGAGAGAAGCAGGGTGCTCCGTGAGCAGGGGTGTGGTTCTGGTCACAAGGGCTGCGTTCTGGTGAGGATTTGATACCCCCATAGCTCATACATCTCCATAGGCTGTAGCATGGAGGCTCAGAGAGCCAACAGGCTGCCCTCAGGGCTTCCCACGGCTTCTGACTTGACACTTTTGTTAGTGGAGTTCCCAGCTAGGTTGCTGCCTACCCACCCTGGGGCAAGAGGCTCTGATCCGGTGGGTCATTTTACCACTGAGGAGATCGGGACCTTGAGAGGGACAGTCCAGGGCGGATGGAGCCAGTGTGTGGCTGGCCTGGGGAGAAGGTCTAGGGCAGAGGCAGGGATAGTATGTAGCAACGGAAAGAAAACTCCTGGAAAACTGGAAAACAGGGCAGCCTTAGCCCTCATGAGAACCATTTCCAATTTTCTATGGATTAGCTAAGAGGTGAGCAGGATTACTTTTACTCAGCAAGTAGTGAGTGGAAATAATCCCACAATAAAAAAACTGACAATGGCTGAAACTAAACATGGGAAGATACTAACTGCAAAGAGAAGTAACTCTTGACAAAATGCAAACTTAAGAAATTTAACTGGGGGAGGAGGGCGGAGCAACATGGTGGCGAGGAGACGCTGCGAGTAAGATCTCCCATTAAAAAAAGTTAATAGGGAGGAAAAGCGGCAGGTCCCAGTGAGAACTGGGACACGGAAGATAAACGGGTGACTCCAGCAAACTACCCGAAGAAGAAAGTGGCCATAAAAGAGGACCAGAAGGGAGGAAAGCGCAGAACCCTGCTCCCCTCCCCCACAGAGGCGGCACTCTCCGACCGGCAGAGAGGAGGAAAACAACACACTAAAACGACCAACAAGAACAAACTACGCAGCAAGCGGGACTGTGAGTGGAAAGGAACTATTGCAGCCACCACACTCCGTGAACGGGAGCTGCGGAGAACCCTGCAGGATTCGCCGTGGAGGTGAGCTCCGGGCGCCATTAAACAGAGACCCCGCCCCCCAGGAGGAGGCCAGGACCAGCACACAGCCCCGGGCCACCCGGTAAGCTTGTGGAAAAGCTGCGCGCTGGAAAAGCAAACGCGGATCGGGATCGGGATAGCACGGAAAAGCAGCGCGGTTGAAAAGCAAACGTGGATTGGGATCACGGCTGCCCAGGTCCCCGCGCCTGCGACCTAGGCTTGCAGGGAGACGCGCGCGAAGACCCTCACTGAGGTTAAAGTCCCTCACTGAGTATCCAGGAACCAGGCACCCAGGCACGGGAACGGGGTGCAAAAGACGCCATTCTGTGGACACTGAACTGGGCTACAGCCCACGTCCTGGACCTGAGGGCTTTGGAACTGAGATCCGGAGCACAAAATTTGGGGCGTGGGTTCTCCACGACGGTGGGGCACAAGGCAGACACAGCACCCCAAAGCTGTTGAGGTTTACCCTACCATTCCCGCTCTGTTTCCTGTCCCACGGGGTGAAAAAAAAAAAAAAAAAACAGCTCCCCAAGGGCTCTAGGAGAGATCTCTGGCGCCACCTAGCGACTTGAAACCAGCAGAGGCTCCTGGAGGAGCCAGTGGCCAGCTGGGGAGTTAGCCCACGCCGGGCCCCTGCCGACCAGTAGTCTGAGCCCACAGGGGGAGCGAGCACCCAAAGCCGGGGCAGACCAGGCGCGCAGAAGAGTGTGCCTGAGACTGGACACGCAGGGAGTGTGTCCCGCATTGCCATTTTAGAACAGGGACATTTCTTCAGTAAAGACTGCCTGCAGAAGGCTCCCTCAGGAGCCAGAGGTGAGCCGGGGAAGTTTGCCCACACCAGAACACCTCTAGCCTGCAGTCCGAGCCCAGAGGGGGAGAGGGAACCCACCGCCGGGGCAGACCAGGAGCACAGGGGAGTGTGTCCCCACATCGGCATTTTAGAACAGGGACCTTTCTTCAGTAAAGACTGCTTGAAACTGACAGATGGCTCCCGGAGGAGCCAGAGGGGAGCAGAGAAGCTCACCCAAGATGCCGGCCAGTCCCAGCAACACAGTGTCCCAACGCATACGGCAAATTAGAAAACAGACAGTAGGGAGTAGAAGAACCACACGCAACATAGCAACTCCTCAGGGAAGAAGCACACCACAAAAAGAAAACCAGCCCCCAGATTGCAACGACAGTAACTTGGAAGAACTTCTGAGCCTTCCAGAAAGAGAATTTAAAATTGCCATGATTAAAAAACTGACAGAAGTCATAAAGGAAAACAATGATAAGGGAAAAATAATCAACGATCAGAAGAATGAAATTGAGTCCCTAAAGAGGGAAGTAAAAGAAATGCAGGAGATCAAAGAATTAATGGAAGAACTAAAGAATTCTGGGAAAAGCAATGAAAGCAGAATAGACGAAATGGAAGAACGAATAAGTTCTCTTGAAGACACAGAAATAAAAAGAACCAAAACAGAAAAGGAAAGAGAAGTACGAAGGAAAAAGAACGAAGAAAGACTTCGGGAACTATCGGACACCATGAGGAAAGGAAATATAAGAGTTATAGGAATACCAGAAGGAGAGGAGAGAGATGTAGGAACAGAGAAAATATTCCAGGAGATAATTGAAGAGAACTTCCCAAATGTGAAGAAGGAGCTGAAAATTGATATACAAGAAGCAAGAAGAACACCAAACTTCCATGATGAAAGGAAAAATACAGCAAGACACATAATAGTGAAGCTCCCAAGAATCCAGGACAAGGAAAAAATAATGAAGCTGACAAGAGGGAAGAAACAAATAACATTCAAAGGAAAACCAATCAGGCTGACATCAGACTTCTCTGAAGAAACATTACGGGCAAGGAGAGAGTGGAAGGACATAGTCAACAGACTCCAAGAAAACAGATGTCAACCAAGAATACTCTATCCTGCAAAGCTTTCCTTCCTCTATGAAGAAAGAATAAGGACCTTCCCAGACAAACAGAAACTATGGAACTTCATTACCAATAAACCCCCACTCCAAAAAATACTACAAGGAATCCTAAAGCCAGAACCTCAGAGGGACGAATAACAACGAAAGAAGGCAAGGAAAAAAAAAAAAGATATTAAAAGAATAAATAAAATCAAAGGAAAGACAAACACAATGGCAAATACAGATGCTAACATATCAATATTAACCCTAAATGTAAATGAACTAAACTCTTCAATAAAAAGACACAGAGTTGCAGCCTGGATTAAGAAACAAAACCCAACCTTCTGCTGTCTCCAGGAAACACATTTAGCTACAAAAGATAAAAATAGGCTCAAAGTTAAAGGATGGAAAACAATCCTACAAGCAAATGGACCAAAAAAGAAAGCAGGAACAGCTATACTTATATCAGATAAAACAGATTTCAAACTCAAAAAAATAAAAAGGGATCCCAACGGTCACTACATTATGATCAAAGGGACAATACTTCAAGAAGAAATAACACTAATTAACATATACTCACCAAACGAAGGAACACCAAAATATATCAGACAACTGTTGTCATCTCTGAAAACAGACATCAGAGAAAACACATATGTAGTGGGAGACTTCAACACACCACTATCAACAATGGATAGATCAACAAGACAAAAAATAAGTAAAGAAACTAAAGCTCTAAATAAGGACCTAGAGCATTTGGGCTTAACAGACATCTATAGAACACTAAACCCCAAAAAACGGAGTACACATTTTTCTCAAGCGCACACGGATCATTCTCCAGGATCGATCACATACTGGGGCACAAGACAAACATCAACAGATACACCAAGATTGAAATCATACCAACCATCCTTTCTGACCATGAAGGCATCAAGCTAGAAATAAACCATAAAAAGAAGGCAAGGAACTTTCCTACCTCATGGAGACTAAAAACCACACTACTGGAAGACCACTGGACTAATGAGGAGATCAAAGAGGAAATTAAAAATTCTTTGAATTGAATGACAAGGAGGACACCAATATCCTAAATGTATGGGATGCAGCAAAAGCAGTAATAAGAGGAAAATATATAGCAATAGAAGCTCACATCAAGAAACAAGAAAGAACTCAAAAAAACAACCTAATCTCGAAGCTCAAAGATCTAGAAAAAGAACAACAAAAAAACCCCAAAACCAGTAGAAGAAAAGAAATAATAAAAACCAAAGCAGAAATAAATGAAATTGAAACTAAAAAAACAATCCAAAAGATTAATGAAACCAAGAGCTGGTTCTTCGAAAAAATCAATAAAATAGACAAACCCCTAGCCAGGCTCACAAAGGGAAAAAGGGAGAAAGCACAAATAAACAGGATCAGAAATGAAAGAGGAGAAATCACAACGGGCACAGCAGAAATAAAAAGAATAATCAGTAACTACTATGAAGAGTTGTATGGAAACAAGTTCAACAATCTAGAGGAGATGGACAAATTCCTACAACTCTACAATCACCCAAAGCTAGATAAAGAAGAAATAGAACACCTAAACAGACCAATTACAAGCAGCGAAATTGAAATGGTAATCAAAAACCTCCCCAAAACAAAAGCCCAGGACCTGATGGATTTACAAACGAATTCTACCAAACATTCAGAGATGAATTGGTGCCTATCCTTCACAAACTCTTCCAAAAAATTGAGAAGGAAGAGACAATACCAAACACGTTCTATGAAGCCAACATTACACTAATACCAAAACCGAATAAGGACAACACAAAAAAGGAAAACTACAGGCCAATCTCCCTAATGAACACTGATGCAAAAATCCTCAACAAAATTTTAGCTATCAGAATCCAACAATATATCCATAAGATAATTCACCACGACCAAGTAGGATTCATTCCAGGGACACAAGGATGGTTTAACATCCGAAAATCAATCAACGTTATCCAACACATCAACAAAAAGAAATATAAAAACCATATAATATCAATAGATGCTGAGAAAGCTTTCGACAAAGTGCAACACCCATTCATGATAAAAGCCCTTGAAATTCTTGGGATACAAGGAACATACCTCAACATCATAAAGGCCATCTATG